TATGAAAATCTTGTTTTTGTAAAAGTACTAATTCCGTGAGGAAATGTGAACACAGTTAATATAAAGGTTATAATACTAGATTACGTAATATGAATAATAACAATAACAATAGATTTAGTGATTATAATAAGATGATTAAAATGTTTTTGATATCATAATTAAAGGTCATAGAGGTGTACAAAAATAAACCATACCACAGAATCGCCAAATGGTTAGCGGAAAAATTGGAACCGGTTAGAAGGCAAGTATGTATACATTCTATTCATGATACTTTTCAATTTATTGATCGTATTAAGGACGTTAATACTTCCGAAAAACACATGTTCTCGCTTGACGTTAATTCTTTGTTCACTAGCGTACCTTTAACTGAAACAATATGTTATATATGTGAGTATATTGATTCTAACAATATAGATCTAGGTTTGCCAACTGAACACTTGAAAGAATTATTGTTACGCTGTACTTTTAATGTCCAGTTCAGTTTCAATAATGAAATATATAGACAAAGGGATGGGATCGCAATGGGGTCTCCATTGGGTCCAATTTTAGCAGACTGTTTCATGGCAAAAGTAGAAAACGACCAACTCCGTTCAATGATCAATCGATTCCACCTATACGTGAGATACATGGACGACACGTTTGTTGTTTGTGACAATAATATTGATTTAGATGATATTCTACACACCTTTAACTCGTGCCACCCTTCCATAGACTTCACGTTAGAAAGGGAACAAGACCAATCAATTCCTTTTCTCGATGTACGTCTGATGAAAAAGAGCAATGGTTCTTTAAAAAGATCCATCTTTAGAAAACAAACATGGAATGGCCAGCTAACCAACTTCTATAGCTGGGTTCCGTTAAGTAGGAAGAGAAACCTTATCCATTCTTTATGCCATCGCATACATCACATATGCAGTACGGAATGCATTAACGAAGAACTCGCATTCCTGAAGAAGACTTTGACGGAAAATGGTTACCCAGAACGGTTCATAGAAAAGAATATGAATAAAAGTAGTCGCGAGAAGAATTCTAGTTGTTCCGTTCCAAAGAAAAACCTTTATATAAGTCTGGAATTTAAAGGTGACCGAACATCGGACGTAATCAAAAACCGTCTAACAACAACTATTAGAAGAACATTTAACGCGGCAAAACTGCGAATATCCTTCACTAGTAGAAACTTATTTTCTGTATCCATAAAAGATAAGCTTCCGCGTCTGGTCGCCTCCATGTGCATCTACCAGTTCACCTGCTCTTGTGGAGCAAGGTACATTGGCCGTAGCCAGCGCTCGCTTTCAACTCGGATACGAGAACATATCCCAGCCTGGTTCTATAAGGGTGAAAGGAAAGCAGTTAGGAGTTCTATACTTGAACACCTAATCGACTATAACCATTCAACAGATCCACAAATTGACTTTAAGGTTGTTTATATGATTCGTTCAAATCTACCCAGATTTCTTCGTATCCAACTTTTAAAAATAGCCGAAGCTCTTGCCATCCAGGAGCTTAAACCAGAACTATGCGTACAAAAGAAGTACGTCTTATCGTTATCGTTACCTTGGCCTTAATTAGTTTGATTATCCTACTATTAATGTTATTATTATTATTACTGCATTCCCCCTTTACTTATGTCTTATATTCTCATTGTTTTATTCATGAACGCTCATCATATCAGTTTATTTTTGTACACCTCTATGACCTTTAATTATTATATCAAAAACATTTTAATCATCTTATTATAATCACTAAATCTATTGTTATTGTTATTATTCATATTACGTAATCTAGTATTATAACCTTTATATTAACTGTGTTCACATTTCCTCACGGAATTAGTACTTTTACAAAAACAAAATTTTCATATATATACGATTGTACAGCTTGATAATAAATTCGTTGAAAAGAGATCCCTTCGCTGAAATTCGTGTTTTAATTTTAATATTGGATATTACAGTTTTGAGCTCCAATATTGACCTTGCAATATGTGCACTTGTACTAATTGCCAAAATTTTAACTGCAAGCATTCTTTCACAATTAAACATATCTAGTTATTCACATCACTGCTTATTCCGTTTTATGTTATTGTTTGCCGTTATATTTCCAAAAGCAGTCTTATTCAAGTACACAGACGACCTTGAGCTGCGACGAAGTCCCTACTTATAGGACGACCTATGATAATTCATTTAAATTCCACTGATCAGTAGTTTTAGCATAAAGAATCAGTCATTGTACATGAGTTATTGTTATTCTCATGAAAATTCAACACCAGCTAAAAGGCAAGAACGTTTTGTAGCCTTTTGAATGGTTTTCCCTTCGAAGTCTTATTGGTTCATACACTATACTCTATGAAGTAGCTACTTCTGCCAACAGACTTGATGATTTACATGATATCATATCATATCATGTTACAGTTGTATTATTTAATATATAGTTTTATGGTAATGATCCATACAGCTGGATTACGTTCCTTCTAACAGGCTTTCCAGGATTTTTTAAGTCTTATGGATTCGATATATATATATATATATATATATATATATATATATATATATATATATATGTTTTCTCAAATGCATTGGCTTTTGTTTCTCCTCCTTTCACTTAGGATTTTAGAAATCACGTCTGCTTTTTCAGGAGTCTTATAAACCAATTATTGGGCGAATCACCAGTGTAGTAATTTAGAATTATTATAAACCGCGTAAGTTAGATATCAATGATGGTTATTGTATTGTAGAAGCAATTTAATATCTACCATCTTGTTACTTCACCGGTGTTACGCAGCTATGTCAGGTACCATATTTATTTAACAATTACTCATAGTTTATCAGATTCAGATTCAACTTTACCAGCCACAGACGACTTTGGGTCAAGGTTCTTAGAATTTGATGAATACTCTTTCGAGCAGACTGACCGAAATTAACCACTGAACATAAATTCCGTCACGAAGTGACAGCATAACATGCTGCACTGTTATTGATTTGCACTTTATTCAGCTCATATAACTCCCTCATTCGGTCTGAACTACGTGCAGACAACGTCTCCAAGTATGTTCGATGCACACAGTCACCAAAGTCACTTATTATTACTCTACCTTCTTGAAATCAGCACTAACAATCCATAACTTGCTACTTTGGAATTTACAAGACAAAAATAGAAACGTCCACTGGAGTAAGAGGACTTTTTAATGAAAACCGAAAGATGCAGTAAAGTTGGTAATATCCCTAACATTTATGCAAATTAGTTACAAGGCCACAGTCCCATATAGGATGAAGTTATGTAGATGGTTCAGTCCTTTCAAAAAATTTCTGAATTAAGAGAAAACTGTATAAAAAGGAAACAATATGATGAATTTGGGCATACGCAACACGTGGCCCAACGATCTCAGTCGATGAAAATTTACAATCTCATCAACTGATTTACAATCATTCCCTAATACCCTGCGTCTAACCTGACTATTAATTACCCGGTGATCCTCTTTTTGCTTCCTCCTCAAGTGTCAATTTCTTCCATCCATCTCGAACACTAGTCAGCGTTGCACACAGTGGTGGGGTATGCGTAATACGTTACCATAACATCTCAGTCGATGAAGATATACAATCACAACGACTGATTTACCATAATTCCCTAATACCCTGCGCGCCTAACCTCACTATTACTTATCTGACGATCTCAAAAGATGCGGGCAATATTTCTAAGGCATCTGTGGTCAAATACTAGAAGCTTACGAGTATCTTCTACTCTTAATGGCCACGTTTCACAGCCGTAAAGTAGAACAGAACGAACTGCCACTCAGTATACTCGTTCATTAATTGATAGACGGCTATCTCGCCTTCACCATAGGTGACGTAAGTCTGCAAAAGCCAAACCAGCTTTCTAAATCCATGTAGAGATTTCTTCAGACACCAATCCACTACGGCTGACCAGACTTCCAAGATAAGTAAAGTTGTTGACACCTCCGACCACTTCCTCCCCTATCCTTAGTTCAGGTGTTGACACAGGCCAGTTCTAAAGCAACAACTTGCATTTAGAGGGGGGAACGCATCCCGAAAATTCCGGCATTGTTGCTCAGTGCTACCAAAACACTGTATTTTATCAGCGTCTTCACCAAACAGGACTATGTCATCTGCATATTCTAAGTCGATAAGTGGACCTCCTGGAAGAAGACCAATTCCTGAAAATTCAGATGACGTGAACGTTATTCCCAGCGGTAGGCCTACGATGAAATTGAACAGGAATGGAGATAGTGAACAGCTTGCCAGACACCACTTGAAGTTGCAAAATCTCATGACAGTTCGTCATAAGCTCTGACTCAACTATTAGTGTTCGAGTAGAGCCTTCATAAGGTTCATGTAATTCTGAGGTACACCTTTCAATGACAGACACTGCCATAGAACCTCTCGGTCTCCAGAGTCAAATGCTGCTTTCAAGTCAAGAAAGACCACCATCGTCGGACGCCGATAAGTATGCCTGTTTTCTAGAACTTGATGAATGGTGAACATGTGATCGATGCAGCCACGACTAGATCTGAAGCCAGCTTGATTCTCTCGTGTGTGCAGTTCACGAATCTTAGTTAGGCGTCCGATGATTATTGAGGCTAGTATTTTAGTTGCTATATTAGTCAAACTAATCCCTCTATGGTTATCACAGGATGATTTGGATCCATTCTTATATATTGGGACAATCAGTGATTGTGACCAGTCAGGTGGGATTACGTCGAACTCCCAGATTTTAGCTAAAATATTAGTCAACCTAATTGCTAAAATTGGACCACCATCCTTAAAGACCTCTGGAGGCAATCCATCTGGACCAGCTGCCCTTCCTCGTTTCAGAATAGCTATAGCCTTTTGAACTTCAGCCAGAGTTGGGGGACCTACTTCAATGTTTTATTCACACTGTCTGGCAATGGTAGAGTAGCTGAACTGCTCTCTGAAATGTTCCGCCCATCGTTCTAAACGTCTGGACTGGGAGCAGATAAGAGTGTCGTCTTTTTTCGAAATAGTCTGACTTACACTTGACTTATTAATTCCAATTTCTTTTATTGGTCTGTAGAGCTGTGTTGTGTTCCCTATAGTCGCCGCCTTTTCCATCTCTTTTGCTTTCGTTGCCCACCACTGCTCACGGTCGTTCCTTCGACTTTTGCTTAACCTAGATCTGATTTGTTTACGCTCTCCATCGTGCTCAGAACCTGATGGTATGAGTTTACGAGAACCCATCAGTGTGATAGACCTTGAAAAAATCCGTTGGTTCTTTGTAACCTTGTGGTTTAAATTACTGGTAGATGCCACTACTGTTTCCACAGCTGCTTGTATATCTCTCCAAGCTACATCTGGGTCAGCCTCATTTTCAGAACTATCTAAGTGTGACCTTGTTTGTTCCTGGAACCTAATTTTGGTTTTCTCGTTACTCATTTCAGTTCTAGTGGGTCTTTTTAATGTGACTTTCTTGCGTCCAGTGAGACGCAAGCAGATGCGTGCTCGTATTAGGGCATGGTCGGAGTCCAAGCAGGTACTCCAGAATGAGCGACAATCTTCTACCGACCCTCTTCAACGATGAATGATGGCAATATGGTGTATTGGGGTCCATCGATAGTTTGGTGTATGGGGTCGCCATGTTAGACGATGTATCTTCTTATGCTTAAAATAGTGCTCTCTCCGATGTCTCTGCTTAAATTAGTGATTACTATAGATAAACGATTTTCTGAGGACAGTTGAGGAAGACGATCACCATTATCTGTTCGCTGAGCCGGAATACTAAAATACGCACCTTAATGCCTTTCTGTTTGGTTTAAACTACCGATCTGGGCATTCAAGTCACCTACTACGAGTACTATGTCTGAACGTTTAGCTTTCTGAAGAAGTTCAGAAAGATTTCTATAAAATTCATCTTTCAGTTCATCCGAGCTACAGTCAGTGGGAGCGTAGGCAGAAACGACAAAAAGGCAACGAAGTATGTCCCTATCCTTCCGAGTTTTTACGGGGCCGTTTAGCCGAACAGCACATGAACGACTGTTAACGGGGATCCACTCTAACAGTGCTTGTTCCACCCTCATGCTTAGTGCTATGACTACACCTGCCAGTCCACGAGAATCTGCCATCGGGTCGCCAGATAAACGGGGCGCGTATCTCGTTGGCTCCCCGTTCTGGCTAGGTAAGGTAAAGTGAATGATCACACTAGGATCCTGTATGCGTGTTTCAGAGACACAGCATACATCAATGGTACGAGGCTCTAGGGTTTTAGCCAAGGAGGCCTGCTGATCGATTTGACATAGGGTGAGTACTTTGAAGGCTCCAATGTGTAGTTTTGAGCGAGGTTTCAATAGACCTGAAACAGTGTTTTGCACACTAGAATCGTCAGCTATGGTGACACTTGAGGAGGAAGCTTAGGCTTGAAAGTCGATGTAGGAGGGATGATAGGAATTGAAGAGTGAGGTTGATTATGAATACAGTGGTCTTGAGTGCTGTTAGAGGTATGAGGGTGATCTGAGAGCGTGACCGCAGTACCGAAGGGAAAACTTGTTGGGACCTTACAGCCGGAGAACGAAATCTGTGGGATGAGACAATTGTAACAAAGAGATAAGTTTCGAGAAAGCGCCATATATATCCGATTTATAATTCCCATACAATCATTAAGACGAAGTGATAAAAAACTTCATTGAATGTAAATATCATTTTTAGCGTGTGTTACACATAATTCGTGTCTCACTAATGTGAACAGTCTGAAAGAAATACTATTTTAGACCAAAATATGCGACAAGAGTGCATGAAGGGTCCATGGTTTTCTTATCCAGGTTACAGCAGAGCTCAAGGATACGAGATCTAGAGATTAGAAAGAACTTGATTTTAGTCATCTGGTAAGGAAATCGTATAAAATATTTTTAGTCCGTATCACAAAAATGTTTTCAGCTGGTTTATCAAAAAAGCAGTCACAACACACGAAAACTGCTATTATGTGATGCAAAAACAAAGAAATCTTGTCAGCCCACCGACAGTGGACAACTTCATCATAGTTACTTGCTCCACATTCCTTCGATAAAATTTGAGTTAGTCTCTAATTTTGGTACTTTGAACAAAATACGGCACTTTTATTCAACATTTGGCTGAATATGGGTTTTCTGCGCGCCACATTAAGTTTATTTTAAGTTTTCGTGAATATAGTTTCTATTGCAGTTGCAAAATAATGAGTATCAGTTTATCTATGATCGTTCAGATCCCGCAAAGGCTATATTAAATTGTGAAATGAAAGTTGACGTGGAAACACTAAGGAAAATTCCTTTATACCAAAAATATCTTGAAATCTCGGGCGTGAAAATTCACGGTATCCAGCACACATTGTAGTTCTTTTTTAAGAACTATAAAACTGAAGTCAATTAAGACTAGAAACTATTATGGTGTGGTTAAAGGTGCTGAATTAATCACATTGATGTTTAACAGCCAAAAATTGTTTCAGATCATCACGATAATTATGTTTAGTTAGCAGAAGATAAACTTATAGTCTAATATTGGGTTGGTTACACACTGAAGATTATTAGGTCAAACGTCATGGTCTACTGTAATCAGTTGATTGACGAATACAATTACTACATATTAGGGAAGCAAACATTGGTTTCTAAACAAAAAATCATGATATAACAGAAATATATGAATAAATTAAAAGAAAATTAAAGATTAACGAAAACGGTTAAATAAATGCTTTGTGCAGATTACCTTGTTTCTTTACAAGCTACCGATGTGACCGCTTCTTTATACGTTTTAAGAATATGTATACTGTGTTTGCGACTATCAGAATTCAATGCGCTAGTTAAATCTTTTAAGGTGTTTGACAGTAGAATAGGGCAAACTAAAAATGGAGCATCACTGTAAAAAAAAGAATGACACGCAGTGAATATATGTAATTTCAAAATTGTATGAATACGATCACATTTCTGAAAATGTTCTCTTAATAAATAAAGCAAAAAACCTTTAGATGTCTGGATATTGATGTTTGTACTGATCTCAACTAGAACATATAATAATACAGAGACAAATTATTAAGTAAGCTACCAAAACTCAAAAGAAGCTTTCAGTACTACTATAAAGAATCAAACACCGAGAAAATGTTGACTTTTGGATCTATTTTAGAGAATATTATAACATATTTTTATTTTGTATATTAAATAACCTGATTACAATACTTCCATATTCCCCATATTGGTTTTGGACAACGGACTGCGGTTCACCTGAGTGAATGAAATATGATGATAGAAGCTTGCTTCTCATTATATTCTTTTACTTCGGACTAAATACAAGGACAGAACAGGTGCGTGTTGTGGACCAGTAGGTTATTCCCTGTCCGTCGAGGTGTTTTAATTATCCAAACTATAGGACGTTAGTCTGTAGACGATAAAGATTTAGAATCGAGATTCTTGTTGAATAATGTTAGCTGGTTGTCGATTAGGTAGGTAACGTATAAGAAAATCACAACAATTAGTAGTGAAAATTACTTAGTTGCACTAGTGTCTGGATGCATACTATCCACCACTAGATAACCTTAGAAAAAAATACATTTAACAGTATACTTACTCGACTTACAGAGTAATAGATGCAACAGTTAGGGTAAATTGATTTTCAGTAAATACTTTTGCCAGGCACCTTAATTTCTTCTCATAAAGCTAAGTTACCATTTACATTTATTTTCGGGATCTGATAATTATGATTACAATGCAACTCACTGACCGTATGGGGTTCGATACTCTGGCTAGTGGGCTGAAAAACTTCTAAACTACAAGTCCATCTTTAGGTATTAGTACACTCGATATGATATGCGAGTCACTCCGTTTTCTATTCGTAACACCGGTAGTGTCTAGTTATGAATAGTAAATTAGTTCTCACTGCATGATTGTTAGACAGCTCATTTTTGGGTACTTGATAAAATGACTTATGAACTATGAGATGTCACACTACTAGCTACCATCAAACATAAAAAAATATGGCAGTAGATTTGAGTACAGGAAGTATGTCCGCAGCGTTGCCTAGTTGTTTGTCTACGTAATAAAAAACGGCATACTAACGTGTCTTATCAGTACGTATTAAATGTCCTGTCTCATACAACCGACATGATATATATATACATATATATACTGATGATAAAAAAGCAATGCATTTAAAGGATGGAGATGTCTGGAAGAGAGTTCGATAACTAACCTCAGGTAAATACCACTTGAATATGTATTGGAGTATATTGAATATGCGAAATCCACCCACTAATTTAAAGGAGAAGAAATTATTTGCAATAACTCCGATTTCGAATAATCAGATAAACGCATGTGAAATAATAACTACATAGTAATAGAACATATTCGACCACTAAAAATATAGAATATTAATCAGTAAATTAGTAGCAACAAAACACGATGGCAATAAGAAACTGATTTAAAACCATACACTCAATGGCATAATTAATTGTGGTTGAACTTTCTTCACGCTAAAAGACAGCAGTCATGAGATTTACAATATCGTTGATAACTTATTGATAGAATAACTAATAAAAACAGAGGTGAAATAGCAAAGGCGAGTTGAAGAAAACGTCAAGTTTGAAACATCCCCAATTTACCCATCCATTCCTTCTCTACTAGATATTGGCTGCAATCAGTCAGGCTAGTTCTTTCCCGTCTTGATTACACCTAACAAGGGAAGATATAAACGACTTAATGAGGATCCAGTGATTTAAAGCTACTTTAAGAATAGAGTAGGACAACAAAATCATATAGACCAGTCGAAGATCTCATAAGGTTCTCGGATAAGCGAATTTAAAACATAGATTTTGCGATGATATATGGGAGAACTGACATCCATTTACCCTAATCTTGAATACGGATAATCGAAATACGGGGGGACTTTTTAGAGTCAGCTACAAATGTTACAAGAAAATAATTTTAATATCACAAATATTTAGATTACTAAGCTGTCAAATTTATACTTAAGTTGGGGAAATACAGATTAATCTGATCTTTGGAAAAACATTAGCCAAAAACATCAAACAGAGGGGTAACGCGAGTTGATTATTGAAGTTAGTGATTATATAAAAACCACCTATCTTATTAACACACGACATCAAGCTAAAATGTTGTTTCTTGTATGATATTTTGAGTTTGAAAGCCTTTTAAAATTAATGTCATTTTTTGTGTATACTAATGAGAACTTCAAGTGTCCTCTATTTAAGTCATGACATCCCCATGTCATGACTTGGGGATGACATTTCATTCCATTCATTCAGAAATTCATTTCAGATCAAAGATGTACAGTAATGTCTCTTACAACGATAGTCTTATTATAAGGTATTCAACGGAAATGTAATACACAGAATCTAACCACGAATCACGCTGCAAACAATGCTATTGTACACTGCTTGCCTTTTAACTACTGTTTTCAAAGGAAGAAAATGCAAGGAAATCCAATTCTAATCTGACAAATTTGCAGAGGCATATGAAGGCACTTAATTCAATAAACGAGATCATTTAGAAAAGGAACGAATTTTCAAAAAAGTTTGAGTTGTTAAGAATAATAACATGAAAATGTCAAGTACAGAAAACTGGTTAGTTATGAAACCAAAGCTTTGAAAAATAGAACTTTGAGACCTACATTAGACAGAATGTTGCGCTGATATGTGATTTGTTCACAACCAGAAACGGACAAAGCTTTACTCTCAGTCAGATAAATAATTTGATCGTACGTGGCAAACTGCAAAATATGAGTCCGAAAATCCAATGTAGGGCTATTTAGTACCATTGACTAAATAATTAAAAAAAAAGATGATATAAAACGATTACAGAAAAGGATTTGTAAGAGAAACAAAGAAAAAGACATTAATAAAAGCTTACGGCAATAGCTCCTGGACCAAGGTGTTTATAATGTATTTTGACAATGTCTTTTATTATGCGACATAGATAAGGATCACTTTTCCAATTTAATTGGGCAATACCACGTGTAAACTGTAAATTAGAGATTAGAAAATTGATATAAAACGAAATATTCATTAAATCAGTAAAACTATATACTTGCACACTGATGCAGTTAAAATAAAACTGAAGTAACATCAAGAAAAAAGGCTAGGAATATTTGATGGTATACAAATGAAGTTATTGAAATCGATATTTAGAAGTATGTAAGAAGTTTATTTATAATTACTTCAGGTAGCTGCTCTTGCATGGACTCCATAACATAACATGGGAATATATTGGATTCGTTGAGAGTAGAAAATCTGTTAGAATCCTGTGTTTCGTATAACTGTCGTGGAAGAAAAAAGTGATTCACCAATTTCTCAAAGCTTGATATTGAGCCTTCGGTAGTGACTGGAGAATAAAGTAACATTGAACAGTGACGAATTAACATCCCTGCCACTCGATAACCGCTTCGACATAAATCCTCCGGTTTTAAGAAACTGTTCTGTGTCGTGTGACTCAAACCAAAACCACTTTCCTGTGCAGAACTGGATACAGAGCAACATGTACAAATAAACTCACTTAATCGACCAATATATTCAACAAAAACAGATTTGAATAACATCCGAGCATGAAATGTCTACAGATAATCAAATGAAAAGGTTAAAAGACAAATACATGTCAGATGGCACATGAAATATTAAACAAAACGCTACTGTATCAAAAGTACATGTAAAATTGGAGGAGTCCCACAAATATCCCTCGTCAAAGTCCCTAGAAGCCCGGAGACGTTTAATCCAGTCAGCGTTGAACAGAATCTTCGCAGAAACATCTAGGAAATGCAGAATTATGGGTTACAGTTTTGATTGGATAATAACCTTAACTACAACAAAAACTATATTTAATATGGTTCCAGAAACCCGGCCCAAGGTCGTGTGCATTTCTACAAATACCCTCGTTTTTCTGTACATGAAACAACCTTGGGGTGAAGCTTTTACTCGCGATTCACACCTCTCTAGTGTTCCAGTTGATAGGTAGAAGAAGTTGGAGATATTGGAACTGGTTAAGGAGACAGCTTAAGCGTATCGGTAGAGAGACTTATTATTACTAAAACATTTTTATTAGTATTGCTACACCTAATTTCACTATGCCTTATCAAATTTTTACAATAGATGGTGACGTGCTGAAACTAACTCACGAGTGAATGCCAAATAATTTCAATCTTTGGATCACGGAAATCGTTATCTAAATTTAGGAATGGAACAGAAACGTGCACTTTCACTTACTCATAAAAGAGTATATAAGGAACCAAGTTGGCAAAATGCTATACAAGATTAGCATCTTTCAAGGGTTTGTAGTAAAATAAAAGTATTCTTATTTTCGATGACTAAATAAACAAATTTTGTTACAGCGGAAAACATTAATTCCGTGATACTAATGAAGATATTCATTTCAAATTTGTAATAATATTATATGATTTTAACAAACTTTTATATAAATAAGTTGATTAAGACCTAATGATGTTAATTGCCGAGAAACAAAGATTATACAGTGCTTATTACTAGTCTTTGTAGCGGAAGCAACTGAGTGATTTGAGTTGTGTCAACAAGACTTCAAGAAAGTAGTTTCTTGCAACATATGCTGAACATGGAGTTTGGTCGTTCAAAAACAGACTGACAAACATGCGCACTGCTGAGGAGTCCCACAATAGAACGAAACGGTTATCCAGTGCTTCCAGGTTTTCCATGGTGGTCTAGCTTCAACTGACTCATGATTTTAACCATTGAAACATTTATTTATTTATTATTCATTTAAACACAAACATTGATACAAGGAGGTACCAAACGGATATGAGCCATATAAATCATTTGATTTTTGTGAGGGCTGTGATACTACCCGGGTGCCCAAACCGAAACGAGTGGCTTTCCCGAACCTTTGACCTAAAGGTCTAATCCACAAGGCCGTGGCGCAACGTGAGGAGATGCAGTCCCATGGAAGTCGGTGACCAACAATTGGTTCATACTCCATTCGTTTCCTAAGGATCCTGGAGCGCATGTACACCATTGGTTTGGAATCAGGGTTTTCCAACTCCCCTAGGTGGATCCTCCGTATCCACCAACCCCGTTAAAGCGCCATACATTCGATTTTCGTCCTCTCAATTTCGTAAACAATACTTCCACTACGAGAAGGTAGTGAGTAGAACTTCCCTGGCAGTGATTGTATACACGTGGACACTTGGAGAGGAAGAGCTGACTCTCCCACTCGCTCGTACCAGGGCATTTCAGGACTGACAAAAATGTATTACTCTATTCACGAAAGAATTTTGATGTTGATTTTTGTAACTCTTCGCGACAGCTAATGATGGGGGAGGGAGGTTAGTGCATATTATTAAAGAGTTAAAAATGAAGTCTTGTTATCTTTCTCTCTATGAACTACAGCTGTCACTGAAAGTCTGAACTAAGTAATAGTGTGCTACCATGCATTGAATTCGATATTTCAACCATATGATTTATGGCATAAATCTAAATAATCCAATGATTCAGACCTCCAGTTAAATTTCAATTATGACAGAACAGCCAAAGTGTGGTTGAATTAGTGGTGATTTCAGTGACTTAGGATTCTTAGGATTTTAAGTCATGTCTTTCCTAAACGTGCAAACTACTAGATTAAAAAGTCAGAAATCAGGATAAAGGTAAATGACTTACAGAGAGTTCATCGAAATAAGCAGCCATATTAATGAAAATGGTCTCAGGATCTAAATTGGAGATTGTTGAAATGGTTATTTGCTTTGGCAGATAAGCACGAATTTCGCTTATAAAAGACGGAAAGACGAAATCATCATGACTATCTGTCGAAAACGAATTTACAGTTCTAACAAACAAACAATACGTTAGTAAAGCGACGAAGAATAACCAAGCAACTGTAGAAGTTTCCTTTTTACTTGAGTTAAGAATGATAACCAATTCTTTAATTGTACTAGATGTGCCATAAAATGATTCCATAATACTAAAATGAAACCTGTATTATTAAAAAAGTGAGGAAGAAAAATAACATCTAAAGCGAAAAAAAATTTACATATGGGCATTCGGAAAAAAACACAACAACAACGGTTTGTCAGGACACTGGGGAATTAAATTATTCACACAACTAGGAATACGTTAAAGCATATATATGACATGGTGCCGTGGCATGAAAGAAAGCTGCAAAGGACTGCCTTGTGTTGGTCCTTCAGAACTTCCTGGCTGGGGTATGAGAGATGGTGCAACACAGTGGCTAGAGACGTTGTCAGATATGGCTCAGAATAGAAGCCAGTGGCGATCCTGCTGTAACCTTCTTTTACTTTCCTCATACCCGACCGTTGTTGCTACCTTGACGTGGTGGTCGGGCTTGCCTATCGTGATGAAGCAACCGAGCTATACTGGCTGGAACAACCGTTCCTCAAGGTCCTACCATGTCAGACAGGTTGTTTGAAGAGCGGTGAAACTGAAAGCAACAAATCCAAGGTCCGAAAGCGAATTCGTACTGCTGACTGTACAGAGGTGTGACAGCAGTAAGGTGTTTCCTTCAGACAACCAGCATGACAGAGATGCTGCCTTCCCATAAGGAGGGGTGGGGTTAGAAAAGGTCGACCCTAAAAATGCACACCTCGCCTTATCCCACGGATATCAGTCTCCGGCGGTAAGCTCGCAACAAGTACGGAGCTAACACAAGAATCACCCATAAAAAGGTCGTGTGTGACCGACCTCAAGCAGTTGTCCCTTGGGCACTGCGGTCACGCTCTCAGATCACTAAAACCAACTCTAGCCCAATTTCCTTTTCAGGTTCCTCAAGAAATACCCTTCCACGGTGTGGGCAACCGGGAAGTGATAACCGTCCTCATACCTTTAACAGCACTCAAGACCACTGTATTCATAATCAACCTCACTCTTCAATTCCTATCATCCCTCCTACATCGACTTTCAAGCCTAAGCTTCCTCCTCAAGTGTCACCATAGCTGACGATTCTAGTGTGCAAAACACTGTTTCAGGTCTATTGAAACCTCGCTCAAAACTACACATTGGAGCCTTCAAAGTACTCACCCTATGTCAAATCGATCAGCAGGCCTCCTTGGCTAAAACCCTAGAGCCTCGTACCATTGATGTATGCTGTGTCTCTGAAACACGCATACAGGATCCTAGTGTGATCATTCACTTTACCTTACCTAGCCAGAACGGGGAGCCAACGAGATACGCGCCCCGTTTATCTGGCGACCCGATGGCAGATTCTCGTGGACTGGCAGGTGTAGTCATAGCACTAAGCATGAGGGTGGAACAAGCACTGTTAGAGTGGATCCCCGTTAACAGTCGTTCATGTGCTGTTCGGCTAAACGGCCCCGTAAAAACTCGGAAGGATAGGGACATACTTCGTTGCCTTTTTGTCGTTTCTGCCTACGCTCCCACTGACTGTAGCTCGGATGAACTGAAAGATGAATTTTATAGAAATCTTTCTGAACTTCTTCAGAAAGCTAAACGTTCAGACATAGTACTCGTAGTAGGTGACTTGAATGCCCAGATCGGTAGTTTAAACCAAACAGAAAGGCATTAAGGTGCGTATTTTAGTATTCCGGCTCAGCGAACAGATAATGGTGATCGTCTTCCTCAACTGTCCTCAGAAAATCGTTTATCTATAGTAATCACTAATTTAAGCAGAGACATCGGAGAGAGCACTATTTTAAGCATAAGAAGATACATCGTCTAACATGGCGACCCCATACACCAAACTATCGATGGACCCCAATACACCATATTGCCATCATTCATCGTTGAAGAGGGTCGGTAGAAGATTGTCGCTCATTCTGGAGTACCTGCTTGGACTCCGACCATGCCCTAATACGAGCACGCATCTGCTTGCGTCTCACTGGACGCAAGAAAGTCACATTAAAAAGACCCACTAGAACTGAAATGAGTAACGAGAAAACCAAAATTAGGTTCCAGGAACAAACAAGGTCACACTTAGATAGTTCTGAAAATGAGGCTGACCCAGATGTAGCTTGGAGAGATATACAAGCAGCTGTGGAAACAGTAGTGGCATCTACCAGTAATTTAAACCACAAGGTTACAAAGAACCAACGGATTTTTTCAAGGTCTATCACACTGATGGGTTCTCGTAAACTCATACCATCAGGTTCTGAGCACGATGGAGAGCGTAAACAAATCAGATCTAGGTTAAGCAAAAGTCGAAGGAACGACCGTGAGCAGTGGTGGGCAACGAAAGCAAAAGAGATGGAAAAGGCGGCGACTATAGGGAACACAACACAGCTCTACAGACCAATAAAAGAAATTGGAATTAATAAGTCAAGTGTAAGTCAGACTATTTCGAAAAAAGACGACACTCTTATCTGCTCCCAGTCCAGACGTTTAGAACGATGGGCGGAACATTTCAGAGAACAGTTCAGCTACTCTACCATTGCCAGACAGTGTGAATAAAACATTGAAGTAGGTCCCCCAACTCTGGCTGAAGTTCAAAAGGCTATAGCTATTCTGAAACGAGGAAGGGCAGCTGGTCCAGATGGATTGCCTCCAGAGGTCTTTAAGGATGGTGGTCCAATTTTAGCAATTAGGTTGACTAATATTTTAGCTAAAATCTGGGAGTTCGACGTAATCCCACCTGACTGGTCACAATCACTGATTGTCCCAATATATAAGAATGGATCCAAATCATCCTGTGATAACCATAGAGGGATTAGTTTGACTAATATAGCAACTAAAATACTAGCCTCAATAATCATCGGACGCCTAACTAAGATTCGTGAACTGCACACACGAGAGAATCAAGCTGGCTTCAGATCTAGTCGTGGCTGCATCGATCACATGTTCACCATTCATCAAGTTCTAGAAAACAGGCATACTTATCGGCGTCCGACAATGGTGGTCTTCCTGATTGTTTTTTGACCTTCCTTACCTTTTTTCTCTTTTCTTCTTTTTAAATTCTCATTGTTTTGTGTGGCGCATATATATTTGGCGCACTTTTTTACCAATATGTATGTGTTCAAATAAAATACGTCAAAGAATTCCATAATTGTTAGTCATATAGTGTTAAAAACTATTATATGCGTAAAAAGTATTGAGTTTCTTTCAGCTTACTATTAGTTATTTTGGTACATAAGTAAAATACAATAAGCATATGGGTTAAAAAACTTACGAAAAATCTATAGACGGATTCATTGTGAACAAATCAAATAGGTCAGCGGGATCAAGAAGATAGAGGGTCGATTTACTAGAAGAAAGGAAATTTATTGAAAAACCAATTAATAAGCAGTTCTTGGTGAACAAAAAATATCATATACACAAGCTTATTTCTTATGTAATATCTGTCCATTTTTCCATGGATTAAGTTAAATCATTAGATGTTTATCATTTCACAGATACCTTATTCTATTAACAGTAGGAATATAAATGTATTGCATAAAAACATATTTGGAGAAAGGAATTGTTATATCTAGAAGGTTGTTCTTGATATACCGCGTATAACGTGAGCACTAGAACGCCAGGACCCTTCCAAGTAACAATGAGAAGACAGAAGACTAATGAAAGGAATATTATTCTCAGACAGTGTCAATTATAGTACAAAATTCCCATGTATTTATAGTTTTCAGTAAGAACGAAATCATCATTACAGTCCTCCAATCCGCATACACAGGGTTATTAGCATTGTCCAATCGGGAAGCTACACGTAGGAATTTTAAAATATCCTCCCAAAAGGTGATTGGATGGGATATCTTCGGCTCCTTCTGAACCTTCTACAGCTTCCTCGAGTTCACCCGTGGTCCGTCGTCACAGGAATGGAAGCGTAACTTATGTTTCCCCCTGTAGAGTACACTTGAATTTGAGATAATATTTAGTAAATATTTTTTCGATTTCTGACTGATGTATGGCACAGGAAAACATTATGGGAAGTGAAACCAGTGACGTGACCTAGTCAATGGAAGTGAACAGCATTTCGAGTATTTTTTAACTTCTACTCTACCAGACGTATAATGTTAAGCCAATAAAATTAGGATGTTATTTTCTTCTATATCATAAAAGTATCTTTTTGTAAAATATCGTACGGCCAATGACCAATCTCGACCTGGTTAGTTATAAATGTCAGAAAATTAGAGTAAATCCACTAATCAATAAGACTACATTTGTGCGGATAGAGTAATAATTAGTTTTACATATTATTTACGCAGAACGAATAAACCACAATTAGTGTAGACAAGGCAAACAATCTTATTACCTGGGACGTATCCAGGATACAACCAGTAGTTATGTAGGTAAAAAAGACTGAGTTATTGTCAGATAAGTAGAGCATAGTAATGACTAATAACTCAAATTTTTTCAAGAGTGCGAAACACAGGGAAATGAAAAATAACGAAAACACTAAACATAAGTGTTAGGGTTTTTAGGCAGCAATTCATCAGGAAAGTCGAACTAAGAGTCAACTTCAGAAGCACTAATCTAATAATGCTAACAAAGAATAAATTAAAACTTCAAATTTTTCTGTAGAAAGTTAAAATCATAAATACAGACGAAAATAGGTAAGAAATAGTTTCTTACTGTTCGCTCCAGTATGAAAAACAGATATTGGATAAACGAATAAAATATAGTGCAATTTTGGATAGGATCGATAATAGATTCACGGGTATAGGAGCACATTTGGTATTCTGTCTAGAAATAGCCTTTTTAAACGCAGGATAAACAGAACTCCAAAAGAAACCTGAAGAAAGAAAACAAAAAATCATCCAATCTAGTTATAGAATGTGTTTTAACCAATGATGAAATGTGGTATTTGTATATCGAATGCTTTATAAACAATTAAGCCCTTTGTTCGGACACTACAGTCATACATGTTTACGGTCTTTACCAGTGTTGATCTATTTATAGCTACAATACATTTTGGACAGATCTGAGATTTCTATGTCGAAAAATATAGGCTGTTGAGGTAACATATGAATGTAGAATAACCACATTTTTCATTGGTCGCATATTTCCTAGTAAATGGAACTAAGAAATTATTACATACAAGCATACATCTGACCGACAAAAAATTAACTGCTTCAGAATACTAAATTTAAACAAGTTATTAAAAAAGTAAAATCCCCCTGACTTTTTAAAAAAGAGTTTAAACAAACACAGAACTTATTCTCATTTACTGGGTACATATTAGTGCTAGAATTCGAGTTACACTCTAAGACGGCAAGAAATATTACCTGGTTTTCTAAACTGTGATAGGTGGAGCGCTGCACGAATTGGTGACTGGTAGTAGAACACCTTAACTACTGGGCCACCACTCTACTCAAAAGGGATAGCCGTAGTCAAGTTCGGCTACTTGGTTCCGATATATCTTTATCTACAATTTGAATTTACAGACTTTTCTTAAATTCTATCACAGCAATAATAGTTAGTATCTGAGGCGCATTTTGTCCGATTTTAAATTGGTCTTTCTGAACGCCACATACTTTGACTGGATTGATGAATATGGAGGATCTACCTAGATGATTGGGAAAACCCTGGTCCTAAATAAATGATGAACAAAGGCTCCTGAGCGTCAAAGGAATGAGTGGCGTATGAACCGATATCGGTCACTGACTATAATGGGACCGAATCTCTCGATAGTGCTCTACTGTCTTTTAGGTTTTTGGCCTTTGATTGAAAGCTTGAAGAATGGCTCCCTAAAAAACCGCTTACTTAGATGAGAGGATCCGGGGTGTGCCTCAGGCCACACACAGACTTTCTTATTTTGCCACATTCATTTACGTTTCATATTGCATCAGCTATTGGTTCCTCTTGATTCCCATTTTGTGTATTTTTTATAACTTACAGAAGCTCGTGTATGGTCAAAGTCTTGTCCTGTTTAAACGTTCTCGACTCACTAAGTGGTTTGATTGGATGGAATTTCTTTGGCTTTCTGAGCTTCTTGCAGCTTCCTCGAGCTCACCCGTGGACCGTCCTCACATTTACACTATAAAGCTCAAGTAAAGTGAGTAGTCGTTATGGGAAACGATGTTTTTTTTTGTTATCTCCTCCTGAGACGCTGTTTTAGGAGTACCTGTCTAGACTTCGATCATGGTTTGTTCTGCACAAGCTTATCATGTATTTTGGTGGCTAGTAAACGTCTTGTCCTGAACGGATTAATATCAGCATAGTGACAGTGACTTTTGTTACAATCAAATATAAATCAGAGTTACGTTTAATGCTAATTGCCGTTTCTCCGAAATATGCAGATGAGCATTAGACGCGTTTGTTTGATTTCTTGAAAAAAAGCGGGTTACGTTTCTTGTGACTTCATGTAACGCCCCGCTTATAAGGACCGGGTATCTACAGGTTTGTTACAAATTCCTCAGCAACGTTTACCTAATCTGACAAATTATAAGTTTGATGATGAACGTAGATACCTGCGTAAAGAAACTTTACGAAATCCGCGTACCAGCCGAAAAACTTGATGGTTCGAGTATACGATTAAGTTGGAAATAGCTGTATGTGGTAACTGCTGAAAGCTATTTTAACTCATCTGAGTCACTGGTAGGAAGAAATGTGACATGAATGAAACAATCTGTGAGGTTGATCGAACGCAAAATTAGTAGCATCCACGACATATTAGACGAAGGGAAGATTTTTTGGAGGGGCAGATCGACTGGCCTATTGCTGCAACAACATCGACCAGTGTTACTTAACCTACACAGCCGGAGACGACTGATACAACTACCTGAAGAGTTGGAAGCCCGCAAGGAACTCCAACTTCCCCTCAACTGTTCCATTCAAGCAGTAAGTTTATGTAGGGTTGCGCAATCTCACCATTTCTCTTCCAATTACCAATCGATGACATTCTGGAAACATTCCTGATAGTAAATAGTAACAGTGTGGACCAGTTAACTTCTAAACTGTGCAATGATACTCAAGCTATACAAATCGCACTTAATCAGTTGGGAATGACATGTACTCTGAACTCACCTTTAAGTGCAAAGTACTTCTACAAGATAGACAGGAGCCTATGCCTGAGCTTACTCTTAGGAGTGAGATGATAGATGTAGCTGGAGAATTCGTGTATCTAGGTGGAAGGGTAAAGGTTGAGATCAGTTTACATGGATTGAAAGCCAGTGTGGCTTATGCCAATCTGGATCATCTTGAGTGCCGTTATGATGTTAACCTGGTTGCAAATGTCGGGTCTGCAACACATCAGTGAGAGCAGTTTTATTCAGTGCTTGTGAAACCTGGTCTATAAGGGTTGAGGATGCTAGGCGACTCTGTGTTTGAATATTTTTGATTCCAAATGATTACTGAAATTCAGTGGCAACACCGCATTTGTAATATGGAGGTTCGGAAATGTATGTTCGGGCATAATGACTACAATTCATTTAATGTCACCATTTTGAAATACCGAATTCGGAGGCTTGAACATGTCTATGAGTGTCACCCAGACAAATTTCATATCGTGTATTAAATGCCGACGATCGGACTGGCTGTAAAAAAGCGGAGTAGTGGTCAGCATATGAAGCTGGACCAGGTTATAAAAAAACTGTATATGACTGGCATCTGTAGATCAATGGCGACTCCATAGTT